TAAATACTGATATTATGTGACAATTATAGTCCAATTACATGACGTAAAGTCAATGGGTTTGGTGTCTAATTGGATGTCACCGTAAAATGTCAGTGCAGTGCATAGCTAACGGTGCGATCGCAGACTAGAGTTACGACAGGTTTTTCATTTCAAATACAATTATCGGATGATTTGATAATAATATTTAGTATTTTCAAAAAATATTTGTTAATTAATTGCATGTCTATTATCCTTGAAGTGTTTGTTTCCAATGCTATTTACTTATGTACTGTACATTAGTACTCGTATAGACATCCAAAAACATGTTATTGTTGTTACTATATGAATATATGAAAACCCCCACCGCCTCAAAATATAATTTCACAACTTTAGTAAACATCCTGGTTATTTTTCTTATATTATACTTTTAGGAAACATATTTTTAATATGATATATTACTTATTTTAAATTGTTAAATTAGTAATTATAAAATAAATATTTTAAGAATATAAAAACTAAACTTTTATTATAATTTTTAAAATAGACATTAAATTATTATGGTTGACACAAAAAAATTTAAACATATAATTTAAAAATTTATTAATTAATATCTAGATGTTTTATAATAACTTATTTAATTTAACTTAATATGATATTATACTTGTTTATTCGGCTAATGAATTAATCATTAAATTGAGCAGAATAAATTTTAATTACAAATTTAAACAAGCTCAAAATCTTAATCTAATTACTAATTAATCAATAATAATTTTTACAGTAACGAGCTCATTATAATTTAACAAATAATCTAATATAAAAATATTAAATCAACTTAATCTTGAACAAAATTGGAAATTAATTTACTCTCTATTAAAAAGTAACTATAATTTTAAGTTTGAAAATTTTATTTATTACTTTATAATAACTATCAATACAAAAATTAGTATTATATTTGTACTTTCATAATATACTAATAGATGCATATAACATTTAGCCCAGGGTCTTTTTGTCGAACAGGTACTCGCCGAGTGCCGGGCCCACACGTCTCAGGTTAGTCACGTGATCGGCCAACGTCTTAATGTGGTCGACCCTGTCGTGCAGGAACTCACTCTCAATGAGGTCCGTGAACTCCGGGTCGTTAGTGCGGGCGCCGACACCCTGGAGGTCGAGCAGTGCCTGATTGACCGTACGCTCCAAGTGTAGAGCCGACTCCAGCGCCTCCAGAGGTGAGGCCCAGTCCTGTTTGGCGGGCTTCGGCACGTCGTAGAGTTGGATACGACCGCCGCGTTTGTTGAGGTACTCGAGGAACCGGCGCGAGTGATCCCGTTCCCGGTCGGCCAGTCCCTTGAAAAGGCCATGGAAGCCCTCCAAGGCTACGTCATCGCGATTGAAATACCAGGCCTATGGATTCACAATGAATAGGTGCTAGTTACTTGTATGTAGTGTAGCTAGGTGCATGTAACAGAATA